CTAATGAAATTGTGGATTTTTCCCTTGATATTGTTGTCTTTATTTTATTTTGGGACTACGGATGAGTGTTCCGGGAGATCCCCTGCGCACATATTGAATTTGACTATAGTGCGGGAAACCAAGATATCCAGCACATATTGAGTATACTAAGAGATCCTCAGGACACTGAGAGATCCCCAGTTGTTATCTTTGCGTTGAGCTGTATTTATTTCCGTGATTACTTTGTTCCTGTTAAAGTTGCTGTTGTTCTTCTATCCTGTGCTACTTTTTACTGTTGCACTTAAGTATACTGTCTTACTCTACACTGTTATATCTTGTCTTTCCTTTAACCTCAGTAGGTCCCTGACCTTCCTCGTCACTACCCGACCAAGGTTAGGCTTGACACTTGCTGATTATCGCTGTGGTGTACTCATGCCCTTCCTGTGCATGTTTTTCATGTGCAGATCCAGGTACTCCCACTCAGACTTATCACGCTTGAGGCGAGGCATTTTGTAGAGACTCCGAGGTATATCTGCCGCGTCCGCAGACCGAAGAGTCCCTTTCTATTCTCAGTACTAGTGTAGCCCTTTCTGTATTTCTCCTTGTTGGCAGACATTCTGGAGTTAGAGCTTTTTATGTAATCTTTTAGCTTGTGATTCATGGGGTACCGGATTTTGGGAGTGTTAGATTGAGATTCTTGTACTGTTGTATGCCAGACGGCATCTTAAGCACTGTTTAACCTTGTTAACTCGGTTTTTATTTACTTTTCTTCTGTAATTGTTTCTTTTTTCGCATTTGTTAGGCTTACCTAGTCGTAGAGACTAGGTGCCGTCACGACACTTCACGGAGGGCGAACTGGGGTCATGATGGCCTATATTAAGATGGATAATGAAATAGTAGAAAATACGGCAAGGAAGGCAAAATGAAAGTAAGCCCCTTGCACTCTCTCCAAATGTCACACATGAATCCGAGTTATCAAATTTATTCCAGCGAAGCAAAAGTTGTTAAGATTACTTATATCTTCCATTAGTTTATACAGTTAGTGTATTAGTGCTAGCTTAGTTAGAGTCAGTTAGTGGTCAAGTATAGATAGCTGTCAGTTAGCTGTCAGTTAGTGGTTAGTTGGTTAGCTTAGCTCTGTCTTTACATACTTGTATATAGTGGGAGGAGTTCCATCAGTTTTACATAGATTTTGAATGAATGATATAGAAATTCTTTTCCAAAATGTTCTTCTCTTCTTATCGAATAACTTTGAGTTTATGGTATTGAGCCTCCGCCGTTGTTACTGCTGCATTTTTAGCTCAGCTAAGGAAGAAACTAATGTTCCATTGCCGGAATTTTGATATGGTATTGGAGCTAAGGTCAGAATCTCCGATTCATTTTTCCAGTTCTGTTGAATCTAGTTTCATCATCCTCGATTTTGTTTTGATCATGTGCATGCAGACTTTTATCTCATCGATTTCAATACATTTCTCTCAGAATCCTCTATCAGAATTCTAGATCTGTAGTTAGAATCTTGTGCTGGTTGTTTAGTTGAACTTTACACCTCGTAAGAGATGTCTACTGATGGAGATGTTGAACAGCCTACACCGACGGTGGCTGATTCTCCTAATCAGCCAATTGTTGACACTAGTAGTCCTTTTTACATGCATCCCTCTAATAATCCGGGAATAGCCCTAGTTCCTGTTCCATTTGATGGATTTGGTTATCGCTCATGGAGAAGAGGTGTGATGAGAGCCCTATCGGTGAAAAATAAACTAGGCTTCATCAATGGTGATTGCAAAAAGCCAGATCCAGACTTCTCAAGCTATCGATTGTGGGAGAGATGTGATGATATGGTAACTTCATGGATTTTGAATTCCTTGGCGAAGGAGATTGCAGGCAGTGTTGAATATGTGACAGATGCAATCGAGTTGTGGAAAGAGCTTGAAGATCGATATGATCATACAAATGGAACAAAGCTCTACCAAATTCAAAAGGAGATTAACGACTTGTCTCAAGGAGCTCTTGATATTACTGGTTACTATACAAAAATGAAAAAGTTGTGGGAAGAACTTACTGCTCTGATTACTAAATCTCATTGCACCTGCAATTGCACATGTGGAGCGAGGGAAAGTATGCACAAAGCAGAACAGGATAGAAGAGTAATACAGTTCCTTATGAGACTGAATGAGACCTACACTGTGGTTCGAGGAAGTATCCTCATGATGAATCCTCTTCCCACAATTGCACAGGCCTTCTCATTGATAATTCAAGAGGAAAGACAGAGAGAAATTAAGCCCCATAACCACTTAGCTCTTGAGTCATCAGACCTAAATGTCAACACAAATAGCACAACATCATTCAAGACAAATTATTCGCCTAATAACTCTCAAAGCTATAAAAACAGACCCTTCTGTGATTACTGCAAGAGGCCAGGACACATGGGAGAGAAGTGTTATAAACTTCATGGCTATCCTCAAGGCTTCAATCAAAATCAGAATCCAAATCTAAGTCACAACCAAGCTTCCAGTTTCAATCAAAATCCAAGACAAAACTATAACTATGGGAATAACTCTGGTGTAAACCAAAGTACCAGGTTCAATAGGGGAAATAGAGGAATGGGTAATACACATGTAGCAACCACATATACTCAGCATACTGGTGATGAGAACTGCAGTGCTCAAAATGTCAGTCTCACAAAGGAAGAATACAGTCAACTTGTGAATCTACTACAGCAGTTCCAATTAGGAGGATGGAGAGACAGCTCAGACAGTGTCAACACTTCATGAGCAAACTTTGCAGGTATCATAGCTTGCACCTCCTCTATTGATTTTGGGAAACTCTCATGTGAATGTTTCAAAAACAAGACTGATTCATGGATTATAGATTCAGGGGCATCAAATAACATGACCTTTAATAGATCCTTACTAACCAATATAGTAACTCTATCTTATCCCCTATTTGTCATTCTCCATGGCTATGAAGTGAAGGTGACTGAGATTGGTAATGTTGTACTTACTCCTAAGATCACTCTGAATAGGGTAATATTTGTTCCTTGCTTTAAATACAACCTGATTTCTGTTCATTCTCTAGTTTTTCATCTTAGTTGTCTTGTTGCCTTCATCAAACCCTATTGTATACTGCAGGCCCCTTCAATGAAGAGGCCTCTGGTGATTGGTAGAGTCAAAGATGGACTTTACATCTTATGTCCAAGGTGCTTGAAGAACAACAGTACAAGTCCTGGAGCAAATGTCATTGATTTCCTATCCACCCCTGTCACTCACTGCACTTGTAACACATAATGTCCACTTCATTCTATTGTAAATACAACATCTCATGTCAATAAGTGTATTTTCTCATCTTCAATTGTAAATAATCCAAGTGCAGGCATTGGAAAACAATTTCTTTCTGAGAGTTCATCTTCTAATCGTCCTAGTCCTTTTTCTCATCTGTGTTAGAAACAATGTGGATGTTCTGTGGCATAATAGACTTGGGCATGTTCGCTTTGTGGAAATGAAAAGTATTTCCTCTATCCCTGTAACCTTTTCTTCCAAACAACCCTTTAATTGTACCATCTGCCCAATGGCAAGACAGGAAAGGCTCCCATTTCCTCAGAAAACTAATACAACCAATAAAATTTTTGAGCTTCTACATGTTGATTTATGGTGACCATATCATGTGCCCACATATGACAAGTACAAATATTTCATGACTATCGTGGATGACTTTAGTAGGTCCACTTGGACTCATCTCCTATCCGGTATAAGCAATGCTTATCAAATTCTTAAGGGATTCTTTAGTTTGGTGGAAAATCAATTTGGAGTAAATGTTAAAGCTGTAAGAACAGATAATGGACTGGAGTTCACCAACACAGAGACAAACATATTATTTCAATCCAAAGGTATCATACATCAAAGAACTTGCCCTTACACTCCACAACAAAATGGTGTAGTGGAAAAAAAATATAAGTACCTCCTTGAAACAGCTAGGGCTCTCCTCTTTCAGTCTAAACTGCCCCAAAAATATTTGGGTGAATGTATACTCTGTGCAACTTTCCTCATAAACAGGTTGCCTTCCACTTCCATTAATGATCAAACTCCATATGAATTGTTGTATAAGAGAAAGCCAAAGTACTCTCACCTAAAAAATTTTGGCTGCATGTGCTACCCCACTGTACCTAAGCCTCATAGAGACAAATTTGAACCTAGAACAATACTACATGTATTTGTTGGCTATCCCTTCAACACAAAGGGATACAAAGTCCTATGTCTGGCTACTAGAAAGATCACTGTTTCCGAAGATGTAGTCTTCAATGAGTCTATCTTTCCATTCGCAACCAATTTGGATATATCTCCCCAATCATGTGTCCCTCATTCAATTCCTTTCATTGAACCTCTATGTGAGCAACCTTCTGATAGTACAAACATTACACCACAAACATCTGAACATTTGAGTGTTCAAAGGAGTAGTGCTAACAACACAATTAATCTCATGTCACCTACACATAATCATTCCTCATCCATGACACCTAATTATCCAACACAATTTCCATCCCAGGATCATACTGAACAACCTCATGCAGAACCTATACAACTTAGACAGTCATCAAGAACACACAAGGCACCTAGTTATCTACAAGATTATGTACATTCCCTACCTAAACTTAAACCAAATACCAACTCCCTTAGTGCATTGTTTTCTATAAACCACCATGTTGCCTCTGATCTATTAACTTCTAATAGTCAAGTTCTTGTGAAAAATGTTTGTCATGACAGGGAACCATCATCATATGAGGAAGCAGCCATTGATCCTGCATGGCAAGCTGCAATGACACAGGAGTTTGAGGCTCTATATTCCAACCATACTTGGGACCTGGTAGCTCTACCACCAGGAAAACAAGTAATAAGATGCAAGTGGGTTTACAAAGTGAAGCATAAAGCTGATGGTAGTATAGAAAGGTTCAAGGCCAGATTAGTTGTGAAAGGCTACACACAACAAGCAGGAATTGACTACACAGAGCATTCTCCCCAGTAGTGAAGATGACAACAGTGAGAGCATTAATAGCCACAACAGTGAAGAAGGGTTGGTGCATATCTCAGCTAGATGTAAACAATGCCTTCCTCCATGGAGACCTTAATGAGAAAGTATATATGCAGACCCCACCTGGACTTGTTATGGATAAACCTGGACTAGTATGCAAACTAAACAAGTCTCTCTATGGTCTAAAGCAAGCTAGTTGACAGTGGTATGCAAAACTGACCGAAGCCTTGTGCTCAAAAGGATATACACACTCCATGAATGATTACTCACTCTTTTATAAGAAAAATGGAGATTCATTGGTATATGTTGCAGTATATGTTGAGGTTGTGTTGCTTACTGGAACTGATCAAGAAGAGATCACACAGTTGAAAGACTCTTTGCATGAGCAGTTTAAAATCAAAGATCTGGGGCAATTGCACTTCTTTCTGGGGCTAGAGGTAATGTAGAAGGATGATGGTGTAATAATTTCTCAAAGGAAGTTTGTGCTGGACATGCTGAAGGAGTATACCTGCCTAGACTACAAGTCTTGTTATTCACCCTTAGACCCTACAATAAAGCTAAAGGCTAAAGAAGGTACCATTCTACAGGATCCTACTTACTACAGGAAACTGGTAGGAAAGCTAAATTTCCTAACTAACACTAGACTGGACATTGCATATAGTGTTCAACATTTGAGTCAATTCATGTAAGAACCCAGAGAACCACATTTGAAGGCAGCTTTTCATATGCTTAGATATCAGAAAAGTGATCCCACTCTGGGAATCTTCATGTCTAAGGATACAGATTGTACAGTCAAAGCATATTGTGACTCTGATTGGGCAAGTTGTCCAAATTCTAAGAGATCCATTACAGGATATTTGGTGCTTCTAGGAAATAGTCCTGTTAGTTGGAAGTCCAAGAAACAGGAAACTATGTCACTATCTTCTGCAGAAGCAGAGTACAGGGCTTTAAGGAAAGTAGTGAGGGAAATGGTATGGTTGAGCAGGCTGTTTGAAGAACTAGATGTCCCTTTTTCAATGCCTATTTCAGTGTATTGTGACAGTCAATCTGCACTTCATATTGCCAAGAATCCAGTCATCCACGAGAGACCAAGCACATAGAAGTGGACTATCACTTTGTGCGCGATCAATTACAAGCAGGGCTAATTTCACTCCACCACATTAGAACAGACAGTCAACTGGCAGATATTTTGACCAAGGCCTTAACTGGAATCAAACATGGTGCCACATTGAGCAAGTTGGCTGTGTTTGCAACACCTCCAGCTTGGGGGGGGGGGTGTTATGATTAATTAAATCTTCCACTAGTTTATACATTTAGTGTAGTAGTGTTAACTTAGTTAGAGTCAGTTAGTGGTCGAGTATAGATAGTTGTCAGTTAGCTGTCAGTTAGTGGTTAGTTAGTTAGCTTAGCTCTGTCTTTACATACTTGTATATAGTGGGAGGAGTTCCATCAGTTTTACATAGATTTTGAATGAATGATATAGAAATTCTTTTCCAGAATGTTCTTCTCTACTTATCGAATAACTTCGAGTTTATGGTATTGAGCCTCCGCCATTGTTGCTGCTGCATTCTTAGCTCAGCTAAGGAAGAAACTACTTTTCCATTTCCGAAATTTTGATAAAAGTCCTATTTTATAAATGCGATTTATAAGTCGTATTTCTCTATACGTCGCATTTCAGCGATTTATTTCGCATTTGGGGAAAAGCGATCTATAAGTCGCAGTGACCATAGTTGCATATGTTGAATGCTATTTATATGCACATTGGTCGAGTTACGTCACATGTGACAAATGCACTTTCAAAGTCGCATTAATCCCCGTTTCAGCAAACATATATAGTTGCTTTTGTCATATGCCATTTATAAGTCACTGATTCACACACCTCAACTATTTTTCAATTTCCGTTCTAGACGTCCTTATTAATTACTAGAGTACTCTAATTACTACATCCGCAATAATAACTGGGACCTTGCTAAACTACCCTTTAATCTTCCCCAAGAACTACTTCTTAAATTACTTAGCATCTACTTACCCCAATACCCCACTCACCATGATAATCTTATCTGGAACCTCACAACTTCGGGACAATTTACTGTCCAATCATGCTATTAAGCACTAACACCAACTGCCCCTTCTATAAACCATACTTGGGTTTGGAAACTGCCCACTCCACCCAAAATCAGGTACTTTCTTGTCACGATCCAAGTTCTCCCTCTGTGAACTGTCGTGACGGCACCTAGTCTCTTCGACTAGGTAAGCCTAACAATTTGCGGAAAATGAAATAAAGATACGAAACTATCAATTAACAGGTAATATAATAAAAGAGTTTAAAATGCCGCTTGGCATATACAATATTAACACTCTCGAACTGAACATAGCACTCCCAAAATCCAGAATCTCATGAATTACAAGCTAAAGAAGTACATAATGTTTCTAACTCCAGAAGTCTAATAACGAAGAAAATACAGGAAATCTATAACTGAAGGGAGAATAGAGAGGGACTTCTAGGTCTGCGGACGCGGCACATATACCTCGAAGTCTCTAGATCGCCTCGCCTCACTAGAAGTATGGCTGAGAAGAAAAACCTGGATCTGCATACGAAAAACATGTGCAGGAAAGGGCATGAGTACACCACAGCGGTACGTGGTAAGTGCCAAGCCTAACCTCGGTCGAGTAGTGACGAGATCAGGTCAAAGCCCTACTGGTTATATACATAACAAGATAAAACAACATGAAATATGGCAGTGAAGATAATTACTAACAGTCAATAAAATGAAATCACAGGGAATATCATAACCCAGCACACAGAGAAAGCAACAGGGGATCTCCCAGGATACGGTCCTGTAGTCCCAAACGTAAATGTACACCGGATCTCCCGAGATACCGTCCCATAGTCCAAATCGTAAATATGCAGGGGGATCTCCCGGGATACCGTCCCGTAGTCCCAAATATAAACATGTAGGGGGATCTTCCGGAATACCGTTCCGTAGTCCCGAAGTAAATACACAACCAAACCAATATACACAACACTCTCAACCAGAAAGTCTACAGTTGTATTCAAGTTCGTATCAAAGAAACAGGTAATTCTTACCCTAAACATGCTACACAGAATCCAAGTAAGCAGTTAAAACAGATAAGATAGTTAAGGCAAGTAAGCATGCTTTCGTAAGCTAAATAGGAGGCTACATGAACTAGTATTTTCTCAATTAAAGGAAAACACGGATATTAACTTAATGAAAATGGGAATTTTCAATAATTAGCACGTGTACGCACTCGTCACCTCACGTACACGGCATTCATATAATAACAGTAACAAAATCCTAAGGGGAGTTCCCCCACACAAGGTTAGGCAAGCCACTTACCTCAAACCAAGCTCAAATCAAACCGATATCACGTTATTGCCACGAGTATCCAACTCCGAGTGGCCCAAATCTAATCAAATCAATTACATTAAGTAAATATAGCTACAAGCAACGGATTTAGCTAATGAATTTAAAGCTACGGTGAGAAAATAGGAAAACGTCCAAAAATCCTCCCCGGAACCACGTCACGGAATCAGGTAAAAATCACAAATTATGAACACCCATTCACTCACGAGATCACTCGTCTAAAAATTATTCAATTCCGGCGCCAGATCAAAACCCAAATATTCGATTGGGGAACTTTTCCTCCAAATCCCCATTTTTCCACTCAAATTCCTTGATTAGATAGAGGAAATTACTATAGATTGATGAAATATAAATGGAATAGGGTTAGGAATCATTACCCCTGATTTCCTCTTCAAAAATCTCACAAAATCGCCTTCTCCCGAGCTCCAAAAGTCCCAAAATTGAAAATGGGATAAAACCCTCGATTTGACCCTTTTTTTGCCAAAGATACCGCTTCTGCGAGAGGGCCACCGCATCTGTGGTCCCGCACTTACGGAAAAACCATCGCAGGTCCGGAAATTGCTTATCCGAGCTGGGGTCGCATCTACGGTCAAAGGAAAGCATCTGGGGTCCCCCAGCTGCGTCTGCATTTTCTGATGCACAAGTCCAATTCTGCTTCTGCGGTTCACTCAGCCGCTTCTGCGGCACGCACCTGCGGTCCAAAATCTGCAGGTGCAAAAATAACAGGTTTAACAACTTCAGAAATTTGCCCAAGTCCAAATCAAGTCCATTAAGCATCTGAAACTCACCCGAGGCCCCCGGGACCTCAACCAAACATACCAACTAATCCTAAAACATCATACGAACTTAGTCGAGCCCTCAAATCACATCAAACAACGCTAAAACCATAAATCACTCTCCAATCCAAACATAATGAACTTGAAATCTCAAAATTCCACATTCGATGCCGAAACCAACCAAACCACGTCCGATTGACCCCAAATTTTGCACACAAGTCATATTCAACACTAAGAACCTACTCCAACTTGCGGAATCAGTTTCCGACACCGTTGTCAAAAAATTCCACTATCGGCCCGAAACTCTAAAAATTCAACTTTCGCCATTTCAAGCCTAATAAGCTACAGACCTCCAAAACACAATTCGGACATGCCCCTAAGCCCGAAATCACCCAACAGAGCTAAAGGAATCGACGGAATTCCATTCTAGATTCGTCCTCACACTGCTCCGACTACGGTCCAAATTCTAAGACTTAACTCTCATTTAGGGACTAAGTGTCCCAAAATACTCCAAAACTCAAAATGAACCATCCCAGCAAATCACAATAGCAGAAACAGACACGGGGGAAACGGTTAATAGGGGATCGGGGCATAAATTCTCAAAACAACCGGCTGGGTCGTTACATCCTCCCCCTCTTAAAATATCTCCTCAAACGAGCATAGAGACATACCTGAAGTGGTGAAAGGATGAGGGTAACGGTTGCGCATATCCTGCTCGGTCTCCCAAATCGCCTCCTCGACCGGCTGACCTCGCCATCGAACCTTTACTGATGCAATGCTCTTTTACCTCAGCTTCCGAACCTGCTTGTCCAATATGGCCACTGGCTCCTCAATATAAGATAGATCCTTGTCCAACTGGACTGAACTGAAATCCAACACGTGCGATGGATCACCATGATATCTCCGGAGCATCGAAATATGAAATATCGGATGAACTCCTGCCAAGCTGGGAGGTAAGGCAAGCTCATAAGCAACCTCCCCAACACGCCGCAACACCTCGAAGGGACCAATAAACCTCGGGCTCAACTTGCCCCTCTTCCCAAATCTCATAACTCTCTTCATAGACGAAACCCAAAGCAAGACTCGCTCTCCAATCATAAATGAAACATCGCGAACCTTCCGATCCGCATAACTCTTTTGTCTAGACTGGGCTGTGCGAAGTCTATCTTGAATCACCTTAACCTTCTCCACAGTGTCCTGAACCAAGTCTGTGCCTAATAATCTAGCCTCGCCCGACTCGAACCAACCCACCGGGGATCTACACCGCCTACCATACAGAGCCTCATACGGTGCCATCTGAATGCTGGACTGATAACTGTTGTTGTAGGCAAACTCCGCAAGCGGCAAGAATTGATCCCAAGAACCTCCAAACTCCATCACACACGCACAGAGCATATCCTTAAGAATCTGAATAATGCAGACTGTCCATCCATCTGGGGGTGAAATGTTGTGCTCAACTCCACCCGAGTACCCAACTCATGTTGTACGACTCTCCAGAACCGTGATGTGAATTGAGTACCTCTATCTGAAATGATGGAAACCGGAATACCATGTAGACGAACAATCTCCCGGATATAAATCTCCGCCAACCGCTCCAAAGAGTAGGTAGTACATACAGGAATGAAGTGTGCGAACTTGGTCGGCCAATCCACAATCACCCAAATGGCATCGAACTTCCTCAAAGTCCGTGAGAGTCCAACTACGAAGTCCATGGTGATCCGCTCCCACTTCCACTCCGGAATCTCTATTTGCTGAAGCAAGCCACCCGGTCTCTGATGCTCATACTTCACTTGCGTACAATTGAGGCACCGAGCTACAAACCTAATAATGTTTTAAGCGTCAATACCACACAAGGGGGGGGGGGGGTGATTTGTGTGGTACCCAATTTTTGCTTAACTGAACTATAGAAGAACCTGGTTCTTCTAGGTGCTCCAACTA